GAATCAAAGGAGTCAGCTGAGCTCTGTGTAGAGGTATCTATTCACTCAACGGCTGGCGGGCGCGGTCGGTCGTTGACCCGCGGTGGAATTTTAATGTTTTTCCGTTTTTTAGAAGTGCTTATTTATTAGGTGTTTTTCACTGGATATGTAAGTTTGTTTGGTTTAAAATGAATAACTACTCAAAAGGAGGAAAGGCCATACAAATACACAAATTATAAATAAATACATGAAAAAAATATACTTCAAAAAAATCGGAAAAAAATCAGGCATACTCTATACACGTAACCCAACAATCTCACGAAGTTTCATAGAAACATTCAATTTCACCCTGTATAATTTAATTGCGCTTTACGCCATACGTAAATCGTAAGACTATCTTATGATGGAATTTGTATAACATTAAGCTTCAACTGAACTAATTTAACCTAATCGTTTTTTTCCTTTGGAAGACAAAATTATAAAAGTGGCTTACTGCTTTACGTAAGTAGATACATCACTTGTATTCGAAATCGTGCCAGCTGCTACTTGATTTCGATTTCAAATGAATTATGTGATGCGATATTAGCGAAATGTTTCAATTGTGAAGAACTCAATAAGTTAGGCGTCGAGGGAAAAGCAGAACAAAGGCGATCGACATTCAACTTTTTCGTTTCATTGTGAAGTTGTTTTGTGATTGTGCGGTTGCGGAGTGGTACACTAACTCAATTTAGATTCGACCAAAAAAATTACAAACTTTTCTTAGACACCATAACGATACATATTTTATAAGAAATCGCAAAAACTATCGTTTCCCGACAGTTCTATTGTCATGCTTAATAGTAGTAGTAAGTGTATTTTTAGTACTTGGGCGAATTTAATATTTAAATATGAAGTTGTTTCCCTAGTATTATTAATTTAAGTACGTCTGCCTCCGCGTTAACTTAAGTTTTTTGAGAATCCCACAGGAACTCAACATTTATCCGCTATAATAAGTATCCTATCAATCCAGTCCCCGTAGTATGAGCACCACAATATACATTAATTATCACGTTTGTTGTCGCGTCGAACTGTCAAACTCCATAGTAATTTGACAATTGAGCGTGCTTGCTCATGCTAGGGGGGCAGGTCCAGTTCATAAACTATATGCGTACCAATCTTTTCCAAATCCGTAAGTGGTTTTTGCGTGAAAGAATAACAAATATTCAGAGAAACCATCGCATTTATAATATTAGTAAGATAGGAAGTATGAATTTGGGTAATTTGTCAAATCATCGGCCGGCTAAGAGATATCTTCTCAGAAAATAAATTTCTATAGTGATTTTTGGCTTCTTGAATCTTGTACTCTTCGTGTAGTAGCTAGTTCAACTCCGTTATTAAGCTGTTTATATTCCGGTCAAGCTTGACCGTTTCAAGATGTTAAACTCTTGTTGTTATAGTTAAAATCTTACTTAGTAAGTAAGCAATGTTCAGCGAAAGTAGGACACACGTATTGAAGTTACGATACAACCTAATGAGACTTCATATAATTTAACGAAGGAACATCCTTGTTGTTGAAAAATTTAGCAATTGTTAGACAAGAATAACCAAGATAGAAACCACTTTGCCATAATAGATTATATTTCTTGAGTTTCTGTGATTATTAAAAATCGCTGTTATGTTATTCGGTACCTATTATTTCGAAATATCAATAAGATGATTTTTTTATATTTCCCTAGTTTCATATTTTTAAGAATATCGATTCATTAAATATCTCTACTTTCTTATTTTTTAAGAATATCGATTCATATATCATTCATATACTTATATCATTATATATGAAATCAAAATGTAGGCAATTAGGCACTAAATATTAAATAAAAATATACGGTACATAATCGTAGCGAAACTTATTTAGGATAGGATAACATCCTTTGGCAGGTTGGCAGAGCAACAAAGGATGCGGGATCACGTGATATTCTATACCCACATCTCAGCGACGTTGTTAAGTGTAAACTGTTGTTAGATATTAATTTTGGCATGTAGGTGTGAATTGTTGTTCGAACAGTTATTGTTAGGGTGACACGAGCTTGCAATACTTCAATAGATTTTCATTATGGCTTTGAGTTGTACCTACTGTCCATGTAATATGCTGCGCTGCGACCCAATAGGAGAGACTAAAAATAGCAAGCTTTTAGATCGATAATTAAATTTGGATAAACGGAAATTATACTGATAGAATTTCTTATTAATTGTTGTCGACTGTCCCTTGATAAGAAATTCCAAGCGTGACGGATACATTTATTATAAAACAGATATTTTATTAACATCGAGATTCTTAGAATAACGTTCATAATGATGTGATTTATTAAAGGCATTTTTTTACTCAATTATATAAAAAAAAGATATGTACATCTAAGTTCCGATGAAACAAACTACACTTAATAACAACGATTTCCATTAACAAATGCTGTAATATCTTTAAAATTATTATAAGTGGCTAGTTCTGGAAAGTTATATTTGCGCCCTATGTTCCCGTTTTATTCAATGCTTTTTTATTTATTTTTTATTATTCAAAGTAACAGTACAATTCATCATATTCATTACATTTGACATTGATCTCCGTGGCCAAGTGGTTTATACGCCGGGTTTCATAGTGTCGCCGACTCGAGAGGTCCCGGGTTCGGACCCCGGTGTGGGCAGATATTTGTGTGATGAATACGAGCATTTGTACTCCAGTCACGGATGTTCAATATGTATTTCTATATAAATGTACTTTTATATGTACAATATATGTATTCTATCCGTTACCCCAGTATCCCATAACACACACAAGCATTACAGTGCTTACTTTGGGGCTAGGCGAATCCGTGTGAGTGTTGAAAATATTTATTTAATTATTATTTATTCACAGAATACCATCATAGCTTAAACCAGGAATGAGTTGTACGGCGATCATTCACTACATGGACAAATCATTACACAATCATATTTTATCATCAATGCATACATGACAAAAATATAGGTATAGGTAGACAGCACTAGTTAAAATAAAAACAATGTAGGTAACATGTAAAATCAGTACAACATTCATAAATACTCTACACGCAAAGCTGTTATACACGCATTCATTCATTCATTTTATACACTCAAACCGTAAGTACCTATTCACTTTGGTCTATTTGGTGTGTATAAATTTTGTGTTCTTTCAGTTGTTGTATATCTAAGTTTAATATTTGCTCTCTAAGAAAAATGTATTTCACTAGATCATAATATACAGGAAGTGTTTTTCAAAGTTTGAAAAACACTTCTTCTTCTACATTAACATCGGCATTGCGCACAAGATTCATTTTTGTGATCACAATATGTTTAAGTATTATTACTTGCAAGCAGTAAATATTATCAAGATAAGTTTTGTAAGTACGACCATAACTAGTGACACTGTAAGAAACTACCGAGGTAATGAAAGCGTTATAAATAAGCAAGCTCGTTTGGAATGGAATCCGTCTCTTAATAAAAAATATATTTGCCAGAAATGCTCTTAACTCATCACATATTTTTTTCTACGTGTGAATGCCAGTGGAAACGACTCTGTCTATTACAAACCCAAGATAAATATGACTATTTACCACCTCTATAGCTTGGCAATAAGTTGGACATGCTTTCGGCAACGGTACGTCATGGAGGCATGAATGACTATGAGATATAAGGTTATTCTGTAGGCAATTTTTTTATATGGTGACTTTATATGAACCAACTTAGAGCTTTGTGCGTTAAGCCAAAGCCCCATATCCTTTGAAAAAACCCTGTAGAACCTGTTTAGTATGGTAAAAGAGTTCTTATGTGCGGTATGAGACTTTCGCGAATATAGGTTTTATTGTGCGTGCGCAGCTTTGCTGCATTTACTGCACTCTAAGCCTGGCTCGGGGATACGGTTGGAATAGGCAACGTGCGAGTGCTAATGACACGGTTTCGCATCCATACTCTATGGTAGCCGCTTGCTGTCGGGCGGAACATAATTATGCTTGTTTGCAATCCTTTTGACAGGGGTTGGAACTCTATTTATTCACAAATTAAAGCATTGACTAGCATGCCTGTGAATTAAAGCTTATAAGGATAGATGAACATTAATAATACAACAATATTCAGTAATTATTCCTACGTGTAGCCGTCCAATGCCTTTGATCTAGTGACAAAAGCCCAACCCCAGAGTAGACATTACTAGGCACTTATTCACCTAATGAGTGAGCGCATGAATGAGTTTCTGAACAGACTACGCTATGTACTTAAGACAGCAGTATTAGGATTCCCACACTATGCAACCCTCGCATGATTACTCTATGCATTGTCGGCTTCGTTGGGCCCATAGAATTAAGGAAAGAGGCCTGTGCTATGGTTGAATCTTTGAATGAAACGTTATTATCCTTACTCGTTTGTTATTACTAACTAAGGTGTGAGAAAACCATCAAACAACGAGATTCTGCCAGAAAGAGGGAATATTCAGGTTCAACAGGTTCATAATAAAATAATTAATGTATTAAAAAGTGGGTTCGGTTTTTCTACGTATTTCGTTAGTTTGCATTATTATTCACCAGCCTGCTTAACGATCCCACATCTGGGACAGAAGCGTTCCCTACGAATAGAAAAAAGAGAACGTAATTTTTAATTGCGAAAAAATTTTCGAATGGCGACCTTGTATCGGGCGCCACGCTCAGTGGGTAGGTCCCCCAAGTGGTGGACCGACGATCTAGTGAAGCTCCCAGGAAGCCGCTGGATACGAGTGGTGCAGGGCCGATCATTGTGGATATCCTTGCTGGAGGCCCATGTTCAGCAGTGGGCATCATACGGCTGATATGATGATAAAATTTCAATTTAGATACCAGCGATTGGCGATAAATTGCTGAAATATAAGTTAAAATTGTGAATTACGTTTATCATGTGACTAACAATAAATCAATTGTTTTATTTTTAAATTGTTAAAACAATCACATTTTCCTAAACACTTTCACAAGGTGTCTTGGAACTAATTTTTCACTCTTTGGCAGGTGCTCAGCAGTTGGCTCTGCTTAAAATTCAACGGTTCGAGTCGCTCGTGCCAGCGGTCCAGTGTTTGTGAAGGCATTCCTTTACCAGGTGAGTGACACCCTATAATGTCATTGAAATGGGTGCTTTGCTTGTCCATTGATTTAAATTGATGAGTTTTTATTTTCCCTTTTATCGTAAAATAAAATTAAAAAAAATCCTGTTTTTAAGGACACTGATTTTGTGATCTTTAAGACTTTAATTAATTCAGTCTACCCAATTAGCTTTCTTTTAATAATCTGCCTGTTTGTAACCATCGACATAATATAATTATGTCAATGTTTGCGATTCAATTAGCTAACAATTAACCTTTATAAAAGGACCGATAATTTATAATATAGGGTATATTATTATGTCGTGTGTTGCTTATGATTTTCATAACATTTTGTTCCTACGTATATTTAAAAGTAAATAGGAACTTTAATACCTGCCAATGTCCCTTGAGAGAATGGCAGAGCATCGAAGATCAATCAAACTGCCAAGCTCGTGAGCTCTAAATGTATAATATCACTCTCAAAATCTACTCCTCGGCGACAGGCCATATTAGGTATTGATAGAATCTTACATGTTCTCCGGAAACCATAGGTTGCCGGCCCATCAAGAACAACAAACACATTTCGAATATTCCGTGTGAGTTGATAAGATGATTAATTGCACGAATTTGGTTTCTTAAAGTAAGCAGTTGACGCATTCTGTATTTTTCGTTTACGCTCAGCAAGGACTTTAACTTTGGGCTTACCATTACCTTAATAATATTTTTTTAGATAGAATATTAGTTTAAAAGTTTTTTCCCATACGAAAAATGTCGTTTCAATCATCTATCCGTTCCCAATTTTATTTGGTGACGAAATGGAAGATATCTAGCACACTACTTGATCAGTTGTCATTTCAATGTTATGTCGTCGTTTCTATATAGTCTTTTCTTTTTACTTAGGTCTTCTTTTATAGCACTGCTTTTTATTCATGTTCTTAATCTTTTTCACAAGCTTATCGCTATTCTTTTCAATAGGTAGATGTACCGTACCGTGATGCAATGTAATAGGTAAAATCTAATTTTATTTCATCATTATGATCATGGAAAATTTATCGAGGTTTGCTATTTTGGGTGATTTTTAATAAGAAGGAATATGAGTTAATCAATCAGAAGTAAAATAAGTAAATCCTACAAAACAGAATTTATAATAAAGCATAAAATTAACAGAAATGTATTTATAATTGGACGTAGTTACGCGAAAACGTTCCAACCCACAAGTCACTCGAAAATGAGTTACCATAACCAGGGTACTATTTTTGCCATATTACATCATGTGCACACAAAGATGCTAGTATTTTTAAGTTAGTTTCATCAATAAAGTTTAACCCAAATGTTCCAACCCACCATTATGCCAAGGACGTGTACTCAAAATAAAGTAAAAACATTACATGCATACTGAAACATATTGTTAAAAACTCTTAATAGAATAACATATCGTTATAATGTTCCACTTGTCTTGGAACATTATACTAAATTCATAAAACGCACATTTAATGGTTTCTTAAATGATCCATGTGGGTTGGAACGTTTTTGCAAAATCTTTATACATTTTTTATTTCTGCAAAAATGTTCCATGTAATTTGAAACCTTTTAGATTAATCCATACTGTTTTTTTAAGCTGCGAACACTGTTCTAAATAAATTGAAACCTTTTATTATAATATATTATTTTCAAATTTTTTGCTATAAACAATCCACATATACTTGATCCATTTTTGCTATTAAATATGTTCTAGAGAAAAAGATATTTTTTACCAAAATAAATAACTATGGTATATTTGGACGTAGTAACGCGAAAATGTTCCAACCCACAGCAACCCCAATTTGCAATTTACACACTTTTTCCCTGTAATTATTTCAGGCAAATACTATTGGTTTAACTATGGAATGCCAAACTGATTATTGAATGATATGCATATTTTTTGTAAATACATAATACAAGGGGCATATAAATAGGTAAAACGAGTTTGAAATGTTTTTGCTAAATTAATTTTGTATGAACCTTGTTAAATAGCAATTATGCATAAACTTTCCAAAACGAATTTAAGTGTATTATTTTATAAAAATAAACCAAAAAGAAATATGTAAAATAATAAATAACAATGAGGAACATACAAAAACAACAAAAAAATATATTTGAAAATGTATTACAAAAAAATAGAACGTGATCTTTTGAGCTTAGAACCTATGCCAAAAATTTGTTGATATGGTTCCAAAAGTTATCAAAAACTTATATTATAAACATTCAATTTTCATCATCGTATTCTATGATCTCGAAGTCCGGAACTCCACCAAACCCATCAACATCATCAGTGCTTCTTCAGAACTTTGAAGCGTTCTATAAAATTGAAGGCAATCCTCGGGTATGTAGTGGTACATGGATTGTAAGTCCACTAATTTCGCTGGAGCAATCGGTTTGTCGTTAGGCCACAATAAGCAAAAATCAGATTCTTTTATGTATTGCAGTTCTCGTTTTATTCTTTTATCAATTTTCAACTCATTGAAATCGTCTTCCATCGTAGACCGCATAAAAATAGAAAACATTTTATCTTTATCCAACTTAATTTCTTTTGTATGTAGCCAACTAACTTTAGATGAGTCTGTAAACTTCTTCCTATTGATAATCTTCTTTTCCAGTTTAGTTGTACTAAAAAAATCAGTCTTTGTCATTTTGTAAACTTGAAGAGGTTTAACTTTTTTACTTAGTTCTACAATAGTGGTATCCATAGTGCATTTAATGATACTGGGCATTGTTATGTATTGGTAGAAGGAGAGGTAGAAGAGGTGCACAGGAAGTGGATTGCCTTCAATTTTATAGAACGCTTCAAAGTTCTGAAGAAGCACTGATGATGTTGATGGGTTTGGTGGAGTTCCGGACTTCGAGATCATAGAATACGATGATGAAAATTGAATGTTTATAATATAAGTTTTTGATAACTTTTGGAACCATATCAGCAAATTGGCATAGGTTCTAAGCTCAAAAGATCACGTTCTATTTTTTTTGTAATACATTTTCAATTTTTTTTTGTTGTTTTTTGTATGTTCTTCATTGTTATTTATTATTTTACATATTTATTTTAGATATATTTATAAAATAATACACTTAAATTCGTTCTGGAACGTTTATGCATAATTGCTATTTAACAAGGTTCATACAAAATTAAATTTAGCGAAAACGTTTCAAACTCGTTTTACCTATTTATATGCCCCTTGTATTATGTATTTACAAAAAATATGCATATCATTCAATAACCAGTTTGGCATTCCACAGTAACACCAATAGTATTTGCCTGAAATAATTACAGGGAAAAAGTGTACCGCTAAAACACAAAATTGCGTTTATCTCAAAATGGGGTCGCTGTGGGTTGGAACGTTTTCGCGTAACTACGTCCAATTATAATTAAATATGCAAAGAATATCGATAGATACACGTAATAAGAGTACCTTTATTTACTTTCTTTTCTTGCCGTCAGGCTTGTCGTACGCTGTATCCACGGACCTGAAAAAAGACGGACGTAACCTTGTCTATTCGTGAGTGAAGCATGCCAATGGCCGCCCGTTTACCTCGTGTGCGTGATTTGAGGGTTATCATAGAACTCATTAATTTTCCTAGTTTTTAAATCTCACAAACTAATTGTTAACATTATGTTATTGAATATATATTATAAGAACGGGATATTAAACTTAAGCTCCCTAAATTTCAGCAATTTAAACTTGCACGGTTGCACTTCGGAAACATAATGTTGGCCTATCAAACATCATTTTTATGACCTCTCTCTATCTCTGTGATAGAAAAGAAAACACCTGTTACTTATAAAGTAATTTATTGTTTACACATGAATACCTGTGTCTTTGTATTAAGTTTATGGTTCATAATATTACATTTATAACAATGAAATAATCCATGCCATTAGGGCTAATTGGAAACTTTATACTATTTTTTTTATTATAGGAACTACCACAAATTCTAGTGGTTATTGAATCTGCTCGGATAGCGGAAGACGCAGATTTGAGTCCTGACTAAAACCTTGACAGATTTGATTTTTTTCTAGAAAAAATATTCTCTAGATTTATAAATCGCGCAAATTGCGTACGGAACCAAACAACGTAGCCCCTTAGCTGTAGTTATAAAATCTACATCATCAAAATGTGCACTGCATACAGTACTGATGATGGGGTCCAATTGTTATCTCTTCTGCAGTTTCGAATAATGAAAACACAGTCATCTCTACAGCTTTTATTTCTAAGAAACCTATTAGAAAGGAGGCAAGAGTAATATATGAATAATATGGGTTCTATTCTTTTCCGTTTGGGATACGGAACCCTAAAAAGTTACGAAATCTTGCCTCACCGAGTCACAAATACAAGAAATACAGACTTTCCCATTATTAGGGAAATTTTCCAGTGAAAAAAGTAGCAATACAGTTGTATTTTTTGTTTAGAATTTTCATCACATTAAATAAAATAAAATTTAGAAAAATTATCACGATTCTTCATTACTCACGTATGGTATAGGTGATTCCTTGTGACTTTTTAAGTTTACTCATGTAGTTTTTACATGATTTCACCACACAAGATGGCTTTTTTTTTTTCATCGGCGCAATTTTCAAACTTATCAATGGCGCTTTGACGCGGTGTCAAATGGCAGCGGGTTGTCGGACGTGACGCATTTGTGTAAGTGTAGGTTACAACAAACGAAATTGTAGGACCTTGCATGCTTCAAATAATTTAAGATTGATATTACGTCCGTCTTTTTTTCAGATCCGTGGCTGAATTTTCTTTATATCAAAAGAAATACATTAAATATAATTGACTGACAAGAAAGACCAAAATATTAAATAAAATTAGACGACATAGCATTATGTACTACATATTTAATAAAGTTATTATGCACCTCCTACTTTTTACTAGATCTTACTACTGTCATCAAAATTATCTGCGATCCTATTGACGGAAGTTATTTTATTTTCTTAATTTTATCAACTGCTTTTCTAAAAAGATGAAACTGATAAGTAATTTAAAAATAAGGTATGTGCCTATAATTAGTAATTATATGAAAGAACAGGTTTGGTTGGGGTCCCGAACCACTGACTCCATGGGTCGAGCTTTCCATAACTTTGCTCTGGCCCATGAAGTTGTTTCTCCCAAAATGGTATCGCAACCTACTCGCTTCCCAGATATTGAGAGCCATAAAACATCCTGTTGGATCTACTTTTAACGACACAATCAGACGATCTTCAACGAGAGGCTACGTCTTCAATAATTCCAAGCAGTACTGCACCTCTAAGCACAGGCTTCTGCTTTACAAAGCGTAAATTATACCCCACGAGTTACTGACGACGACTTACTGCTCATATTTCTGGGCTGGAGGTCCCAGATACCAGTTGGATCCCCTGAATTCTATACAAAGACGCATAATTCGGATTGTCTTTTATTCCAAACCAGCGGAAAATCTGGAGCCTTTACAACTGCGCAGGGAATTCGGTTGCCTGTGCCTATCCAACCCCAAGAGCCCAAGAGAGGCTAAGAAAAGTGGTCCACTCAAGACAGCGGCATGCAATGGTTGTGTCATTCATTATGATGAAATTTATAAATACATTTATATAACACAATATAGGTATATTAAAATATGTCAAACTTTGTAATTCTTCATATTGCATTTATCAACATAGGTACTTTACTCGAATAATTCTATATTTTATATTACTTAATAGTATTCGGAGTAGATTTATGATGCACCTCTCTGAAAATAATCCTGTCGGTGTCCATGATAGACGGTACTGTAAATCTTAATATATATAAATCTCGTGTCACAATGTTTGTCCTCAATGGACTCCTAAACCACTGAACCGATTATAATAAAATTCGCACACCATGTGCAGTTCGATCCAACTTGAGAGATAGGATAGTTTAAATCTCAAATTATAGTCGCAATTTTAATTTATTGCAAATTATTACTTTTGGGCGGTACGAAGTTCGCCGAGTCAGCTAGTAAT